TTACATAATATTAATTATATAATATTATTAATTAATTATATTATATAATATATATAATATATATTATTTATTTTTAAATATATCTTACAAATTTCGTTGCATTATATGTTTTTATTATTCAGGAAGAACCATTAGTTGACAATTTAAAATCAGTATCAGAAGAAGTGGTCGCCGATTCGTTGATTAAATCTGCATTATCATCAGCAATGATATCGAAAAATACGACAAAAGTTGATGAAAAAGAAAAACTAGAATTGACAGAAAGAATTCAGACACCTATAAAACAACGACAATGTATTTTACGCCGTGAAGATGCAATACAAAGGAATACTTTGTCAACGGAAAATGCATTTGCATCGTGCGGTGTTCAACACACAGGTGAATTCCACGATTGTTTGCCATTACCTGTATTGGAATCAATTGAAATGACGAAGAGTAACGTTTTATCTGAAAACAAAGATAACGATAAACGTATGAAAGATGAATTAATTGATCAGAATAAATCTGAAGAATGTACCAAAGAAGATAATACACTTGTTGAATCATCTACCGATTTAAAATTGGAATCAAACGAACTTAACAATGATGATAATATTGAAAATATAAATCGAACTTCAACAGGAAATTTAGAAAAAGATTTAAACAATTTATTTGGTGGATTACATTCGAATAATTTAGCTAAATTATTAGTTAGTCATGTTAACAGACCAATCATGTTAGGACTCGTTGATATTGTTTCTAATTCTGTAATAGGTAAGAATCCTAATGTAATATTCGAAACAAATGCTAATTTAAATGTTAACGAGGATTTAAAAAAAGGAAAATCAATTAAGGATGATTCAACATTACAAAATAGTTATTTAAATTTTATAACAAGCGTTGAAGATAACGAAACAAATCATGTTATCAAAGAAACATTAAAAGAATATAAAGATCATTCGAATGAACATAGTATGCAAAGTTTACGAGAACCCTTAGCTCTTCCTGGAACACCTGAAGGTGTATTCATCGAGGAATTAAGTAGTTTGGATAGTACAACTATGTCTAAACTTCAAGATCTTTCTTCTAATCCTATCAATTTGGAATCTACTACGATGGATCGTGAATCTATTGAAAAATCAATAGATTCTCAAAATTCAATAGGATTATTAAATAAATCAGATGACGTGGATGTTCAAACACCTATTACAGCAAAACGTGATGAAAATATTACTTTAGATGATATATCAATTACAAATGAAAATGTTAAAACAGAAGTATCGATAAGACCGAAAGAAGATGAAATTGAAAATAAGGAAGAAAAGGTAAAAGATAATGTAGATCAATTGCTTGTCGATGAAAATATTCGTGATACTAATGGGGAAACGATAGAACAGTCTACGTCTAGTTCTGAGATCGAAGTGGTTGAAAATAATGAAAATATAAATGAATATTCGGATGACAAGGAAGAAAAGAATGAAGCAAGTTCGAATAAAAAAGATGAAAATAAAGAAGCAAGTACAGATGAAAAAGATGAAAATAAAGAAGCAAGTACAGATGAAGAAAATGAAAATAAAGAAGCAAGTACAGATGACCAAGATGAAAATACGAAAACAAAATTAAGTGATCAAGATGAAAATAAAGAAGTAAGTACAGATGAAAAAGAACAAAATAAAGAAGCAAGTTCAGATAACCAAGATGAAAATAAAGAAGCAAGTTCAGATAACCAAGATGAAAATAAAAAAGCAAGTACAGATGAAAAAGAACAAAGTAAAGAAGCAAGTTTAGATGACCAAGATGAAAATAAAGAAGCAAGTACAGATGACCAAGATGAAGATACGAAAACAAAATTAAGTAACAAAGATGAAACTAAAGAAGCAAGTACGGATGAAAAAGATAAAAATAATGAAACAAATATAGATGATAAAGATGAAAATAATGAAGCAAGTTCAGATGAAAAAATTAACAATTTAGATAACTCAAACAACGAAGAAATTAAATTATCTAACGAAACGATGCAACAAAGCTTGAATGACTGTGCAGAAAAATCAGACGATAAAAAAACATAATTAATCAATCAATATAATATATCTCGAACGTATAAAACAATCACAATATGAAAAATATATCTTCGTAAGAATGAAATAAAAATTATTTTGATTACGATCTATTCTAAGAATAGAGTTCATTGAGATAACAATAATGATGGAATATCATTTTTGTTATTTTTTTTATCGATATCATATCAACAAGTTGAGAAAATTTTATTCACAGTTTTATTAACGAAAAGCATCCGTGTAGTAGTAACACGGATGCTTTTTAACAAGAATTTCCTTCGTTACGTAACTTCTATCCAGCCAACTCTGATGCTCGTTAAACTGTTAATGACTATATCACCATTTTAATTCTATCTTCCCATGTGCGAAAATTATTCACGCATCATGTTCGTATCGTGGTTTGCTAAAAGTTGCTCTACGAATAATTATAACTGAATTACACTTATTACTACTGGGATAATCAACAAAAGTTGTAATACAATTTCTCAGTTAAGTAAGTATGTAGGTTGAATCCCAATAAATCATATTATAATTAGATAAGCGTATAATAATTAAACGTTTGTTATAACAAACGTGTAATAAAAAGAAATTTCTGAAAAATATAAAAATTTGTATATATTACATGAAAATATATCGAATATAATTCATACGTTAATTAATTATTTCTGTTATTATATTATATTGTATTGTAATTATGTCTCTTATTGTAATTGATTATTAATTTAAGATTCTTTTATATCATTGTTATAATTTCACAGGAATCAACAACTTGTTGGAACGAGATTAGAAAAATAAAATAAATTGGGAACGTTTGTTGAAATATTTTCTATGTTTTCTAACATTGGAAGAAAAAAGAGCAATATGCATAAATATAAATACATTAATATATTAGTAAAATATGTGTTTCTTCATTAAAAATAATGACTTTTAAAAAATACTAAATACATTTGTTTGAAAATCACACATATATATATCCATTAATGTAATTCAAATATTTAAACAAATTTTAAATCAAAGTGATCACTGGACTGAAACGTCAAAAAAAATATATTCTAATTTAAACAGTCGAAAATATTAATAAAGTGCATTAGAATGTTCAATGTATTTTAAATGATTGTTAATTAATCGAAACAAACGTAATTTGTAGTTAAAATACACGGAGTATAAGTGGGGACTACCTTCCTCTTCGAAGTACAACGTTAGACTGTTTCATTATCCCAAATTAAATTTCTTTTGTTGATTGTTATTTATATGACGTTTAGAAGGTTGCACATGTGTAAAATCAAATTAATATTCGTAATAAAAAGA